TTTATAGATTACAGAATGAAAAATTGGATAGTGTGTGGCTTGACTTGTGAAACCGAAGTGTGAACAGGAGAAAACATGACGCTGGGGCAAATTTTAATGTTCGACAGAAAGTGCAAACAGACAAAGATTAGGTGTCAGATTAAGGAGACGATCATCGAGAAGGTTGGACATTTGGGTATTGGAAGCACGACGAGGAGTCACTATACGCTTTGGACGGATGAGAAAGCGACTGTTAAGTCCCCTACGCACAGACACCAAAAAAAAGACGAGGGTTAACCGGTCATATCTGGAACTGGAACTGGAATATAATCCTAGGACACAGACCATAACATTATATATGAATCATAATTCATATAAGTCCACTAATCGATACAATACTTTAGTATATATTGATACAAAAGTACAAATTAGTGAATTTATTAAACAAAGGAAAGGTAGAAATGCATCTTGATTTTCAACGAATAAGAGACTAGTTTGTCGAGAATCACGCCGTTTGTTTTGCAAAAAGCAAAAGACAGCAGTGCTGGATCCAAGTTCTTATTTTTTTTATGACAAGAATTCATGGTTTGTCCAGGACAGGCTGACTGACAGCTGGTTTATTTTATTCTCTACCCAAACTTGATATTTGCAATATATGAGGAGGTAACCGGAAGATGTTCTATTAATTCGCAAACACTATAGAAGTGGTAAGAAAAAGAGGAGAAAATATTCATTATAACGGTAATATCACGTGACAAGGTGATGTAGTATCATCAATCAATAATAATAAAACAAATAAATAGATGAATCTCACAAAAATCAATAACTAACCTGTCATGTAAGTAAATAACTCTTCACTATTCTGTCATGTAAGCTCAAGTGGGATTCACTTTTTTTATTTGGTGTTTTATTATTAATTGGTGATATCATATCATCGTTACATTCAATATTTACTCGAAAAAGAGGGAAACTACAAGCTAAAGAAGTAATTAATGAGTGTGGATACAATCTAATCAATTTGATTATTTTAAGTTTATGAAGCATTCCAATAATGTACTTTTACGATTTTCCTTTATTTTATGAAAAAGTTTTGTGCTTGTTTTCAGTATTTCTAACTTGCCCAAAAAACAAAATCTAGATAAATAAAATCTTTAGAGAAAATCAGTAACCATGTATTGGAGGATTTTCTGCAAATATTTAGCTACTTGGAAAGTAAATTTTTTTTAATCTCGAGTGATAATATTGACGAAGTATAAACTTAAACATCCACATGAGGATCAGGTAATGATAGAATTATTCCTAATAAATACTCTAATCACGATATAAATGTCCTGTCTTTAATCAAATTGATAATAAAATTAATTAAGGTGTACTTAAGTTATTATATACACTCTTACCATTTGAAAAAAAATAAATAATTTTTTATCAAAATAACAAAAAAAAAACTTTGGAATCAAACCACTCGCCATCAGGGCTAGTGGATTGGTAAGGCTATGTTATGTGCATGCAACGTTGGCACCAAACCACTCGCCATCAGGACTTGTCGTGACCGTTTTTCAAGTTATAGGTCGTTTCAGCAAAAGCGACAGTACATGGGCGGCGGTACAGGCTCGGGCACTTTAACGGTTACACCAGTCTAGTCGGTCTGAAGTCTGAACACGCTTTCACATCCCCACGATTAAATCTGAACCGTCAATTCCTGGGCTTGACAGACCCTTCTCCATCAGTGAAGGATCTAAGTGGTTTGTACTTTTGTGGGCCTGTTGGGTCAAAAGTGCCCTTCTGCCCCAGTCAAAACATGGGCCCCTTATACAGACCACGTGTACGGCTCACATTCCTGATACCACACGTATCGGCCTTTCACGGGAAAGAGGAAGTAACTGGACAAGCACATCAAGTGCGAGTATAGAAAAAAAAAGCAGGAACAATTAAAACACGCGCATTAGACTCGCGTGGGAGAAGTACGGCTCTGATTTGAACGAACACCAACCGCTTCTTCGTTTGTTCCTGGACTCCTGCGCCTCATAACACGCAGCGTTTGACGCTTAAATGCTATTAGAACACAATAAAATAAGACAAATTCCGGTTAAACGTCGAACATTATCGGAGTGAGCTATCCACCGACATCGCCCGCAAAAAAGTGCATGTTTGATCTGAATTTGAAAGAACATTTCCGCGGCTCAAACTTTCGCCAATCATCGCCGTTAAGGATGATCGGTGCATGACGGCCGGAAAATTGAGAACAAAATGTATGGATGAATGTGAAAAAACAGATTTGAAAATAAGGTGCACATACTATTAATTTTTTATCTAGATTTGAGTGAGATTTCATCTCATAAATGCACATGCAGGGTGAAATCGAAACAAAATGAGGCACGCACATCATATTGGTCTCCTTGGGATTTCAGGAACACAGTGACTTCTGGAGAAAGTTTTAGAGAGAGAAACACATGTACAAATAGAGATGGGCATAGAAAAATCATGAGAAATAGAGAGAAAACTTACTGATTTCTGCTACTGCTTGGAAAATTTCAGCCCCCCTGGCCGGAGAGCTTGAAAAAATAATGAGCTCGAAAACTTTGCGAGAGAGAGAGAGAGAGAGAGAGAGAGAGAGAGAGAGAGAGAGAAAGAAGAAGAAGAGAGAATGTAACGGAAGGCGGTGTATTTATAGATAGTGGAAAGGGTTTAGGAATTAGGAGGGGTTGGGAAATTTTGTCAAAATTGTCATATTCGCGATCTTCTGCACTTATTTCTCCCAGACAGAATTATGAAAATCTAGAATTAAAGCATATGCTTAATATAGCTACACAATGACCAAAACAGCCCTGCATTAAATTTATTAAGCCAACTAATTAGTCACCTAGTTGACTAGTAATCATACTTTTACTTATTATAATATCCGCACGTTCTGAATTTAAATTTTGATTACTTTTAAGTATTAAGTTATCAGTGATTTATTTCTCGTGAATATCTTAATTCTAACGTGAATGACTTACATTTGACTGGATCGAAAAAAGGAATTAATTCAGATATATGTAAACTAAATTGAACATCCTTGATCGTTAAACCCAAAAAAAAAAAGTTTTTTATTTAATTTTTCTTTGGTTTTATCCTTTTAATGAACATGATTTTTGGGGTATTTTTTAACCATGGCACAACATTTTATATAAATTCACCTAACAATTCACATTACAAAAATCCACAACCCACAACACAAGATGACACATCTCCGACTGTTCAATTGGACTCAAATAATTATATGCTTATCATGTTCAAATTCAATAAATTGACTTAATTATAAAATACTCTTCCACCGACGCCACACTTATAGATACTCTAATTTTCGTAAATTCGGGCAAACAATGGGTGCTTCATAATAAATGAGGTCCTTGTGGAGATGAAATCAAAAATGACCTAAACTAAGGTGAATATTCGTTTGTATAATTAAAGCATGGTTTGGATAGTTTTTGTTATCAAAAATTATAAGCATCCATCGAAGCATGGTGGTATATGAATATAGTTATAAATATGCACCCTAATTATTACTAGGTAAATGATCAGACCCAATCAGTCCACGTGGCACACTACATGGGCTGATTGATCTGACGTGGAAATGAGGTAGCCCACAAATATTGTCAAATGGGTTCCCGTTCAGTGCTCCAACGGGCTTTTGCTGGCAAAAAACCAAGCATTCATAAACTAAACTCGTACGATCAAAAGTAGAGTCTCAGTGCAAGTCGAGCTCCAAATGGGATAGCAATGATTAGCTTAAAGGTTAATTGAACAGATATTCGCTAAAAAGAATAAGAGCGATGTTATTACAACCTAATTTACTAACATAATTTACTAATTTAATTTGTTGTGACATTTAAATTCATTATAGACCCCTTCAAATATTAGAATTTGGTGTTGATCTAATGATTCTTATGAAACCACATCATTATATCAGCAAATTAAGTCAAATTTTTAGGTCTAAATAGTATTACTCAAAAAAAAAAAAAATATCACGGACAAATAACGTTACAAAAGCGATACTAGAAGACCATTGGCAGGAAGATCGATAGAGATTCAAGATACAACCAATAACTCTAACGAGACTGCCCGAATCTAGATCTTATGACAAGGAAAATGGTAAGAAAACGAATCCATATGGCACAATGAAATAGTAACGGAAATAATGTTCTTCACACAAAAGGGCAGAGACAAAGAAGCCGAGAAGGTTTGACCTTCGCCAGGGCTGATACGAAGGCCATTAGCCCGATGATTAGGACCATAGACATTCCTTTTGCCTAAGGATAGGCCTGACTTTGCCTATTAAGAACAGCCCAATGCACTATCTGCAATGGTTTCTTTGGGAGGACCAGCCCAAACCAATGACCCAGTCCTCATGCAGGCGCGAGTCGTGACTGGCCCACCCCAATGGTAACTAAACCATGACACCCAATAAACATCCATAAATCACCCAAAAAAACCAATTCAAAAAAGCAACTGAATGATTATATTCCAATCTATAACATAATGATGCCACCAAGAAGCAAGTTTTAAACAAAAGCTGAAAATTGTTACCCATTTTAAGATTGCAAGGAGAAAGGCCATTCTGAGATGGACATAGAGATCTAAAGGTTGCAATTTACTTGCTATGGGGAAAGGAAACTGATCAAAGGATCCAGCAGGAACAGAAGTATACAGCTGTAATCTCGGAAGCCTATCCAGCAAGTGGGGAGGCATTTGCCTTTGAAGTTATAAGGAACAACCACCATGTACTACCTTCTCTTCCCAACTAACCTCAATTTGCTGCCAAAACTGGGTAGTGAAAGTTTTAGCACTGGCCCAACGTTACAAAAGTTCTAATCCAAGAACATTAATATCCATTTCGATTCAACATTTACACCAAAATGAAGATCTTCTCGAAAATAGTCAGGCCTGTATATACCCAAACGTCAACTAATTGCTGTATCGTTAGCAATATCCACATTTTGCTTTAGCTGTTTCCACGCTATCTACTATTGCTGCTTCCTTGCCTATTTTGGAAAGCCTGTGGTGTCCACCTCCTTGCTTTGTTCACCATTGTCGGCTATGTCTTCCTCCTTTGGCAACGCAGCAGCACCAAATATCCCACCAACCTTAATTTCTTCGTCCTCAACCTTTCCACCATTCTGCTTTGCTGTCAACTCATTAGTTTCCAATTTTACCTGTAGAAGTTCCAAAGGTGTAGCTGCTGGGTCCAGCTCCTGGAAACCCTTTGGAGCATTTTCAGCTTCTTGACCTGTAAGGAAGTACTTTGGACCTGATGTGAGAATCGGAACATTTCTTCTTTTGGAATTCTCCTTGCTTTATCAGGGTCCAGATCCGGATGAAATACTGTCCTGTATCCAGCAACCTTTATAAGAGGAGTAACAGAAACACCTTGTTCCTCTTGGTAGTCATCAAGCACTTCCACCATGTCATACTTGTGTATCACTTCATCTGGGGTACGCTCATTCCAATCACGGGACCAATTCCGATAGAGAGCCCACACATCCCCCTTTTGGGGATATATGATGAACAGTCCCTCGAGCACCTTTTGTCCATTTAACCCTTTGCGAGAAACAATTTAAAGACATATAAATTTCATGTTTACCAACCCTGAATTCCCCACAGGTTTTATAGAAACCAGAACCTACCCAATCTGCTGGACCAAATTCACTGTTGGTTTTTGAATTAAGCCAACTGATTCTCATCTTAAATGGTTTCCTAGATATAACGTTATGACCATAGCATAGAAACGCGGCATGCCATCATCATCATCATATGCAGCCCAAACCTGGTATCTTCAAAAGAACTTTCTGTCCGATCCAGGTCAAAATCATGAAAATCGGGATCTGGAACATTCATTGACACTGGTGCAAGGTCCTCTGTATTTTTACCATCAGCAGTAGCTCTATGGACACTCTTATTGGCTTGGTCTCCTGTCTTGGTAGCAAAAGACACGCCAGTCCCATTCGGATCATGTGCAGGACCTTTTAGGGAACGTTTTTCTTTTTCTTTCTTGCTCTCTTTCGCCTTCTTTTTCTCCGTCTCTGCAGCTGCATTTTCCTGATCTCCATTGAGTCAACTTCTTGCAGATCTCTGTCCGAGCCTTCTCCATCACATGTTTCGGATCTCAAACGGTGTCAACTCTCTAGTGCTGTTAGGCTTATTATTTATACCACGAAAACCGTAGACCCCATCTCCAGATACACTTCCTGTGCCAACATGACCAGTTCCCATGGCCGTTTGATATGCCAAGTTTCCATGTTCATCCAGTATGCTTCTCTTTTT